TGGTTCACATTTTTGATATTTTTGTTTCGCATACACTGTTAAAAAAGTTGTGAAATTTCACATCCAAATCAGTTGTAAAATTGCAAACGTGGTTGGGAAATTTCATAACATTGTCAATTTTGCAATTAGTTATTAAAATCCATAACAGTTTTCTGAAAATTCAAATCTGTCTTCTGAAAATTAGGAAACATCTGTAATTTTACAGTTTGCGATTGTAAAATTGTGATCACTCTATCGGAAATGTGAGATTTGATTGTAATTTTCCGATTGCAGTTTGTAATTTTGCGAAGTAAAACCAAATGAAACAGGACCTGCACAAGTCCTCCATCAGGTTTACTACAGTACAACGAACCTCCACACCTATAAGCCCGTTGTGACTTTGGACTTTCATGCGACGAAACAGCAACTGTACTTTAAAGAACTGCCGCCAGATGGCGTTGTGGTCAGCGCGTCTCTTCCAAGAGCAATTATTAGTATTTAACTAAAATTTGCACAAGAAACTGACATGTATTTTTGTGCGGTATGATCTGTAACACAATGCTGTAGCTGGCTACGCATTTGTTTTTGAGCAAAAAGTCAACCAAGTGCCCCAAATAATTGGTCTAATTCCAGCGCGCGCCGGTCCCCGCTACCTCTCCTTAGTTAGATACGGCGCCGTTCGCAACCGATCTATAGGGGGCGCCTGTGAAGCGCTCCCGTATTTTTGCTGTGACTTATTTGCCCTCAGAGGTAACCCGTACAAGAAGATCGGGCTTCAGGATGGCTTCAGGATAGCTACGCCAAAGCTATCTCAGAGACAGTAGGGAAACCGCCTGTAGCCATTGCTGAGACAGTCTCCTGCCTCATGAAATGGCTATAGAATGGCTATAGAATGGCTACTTTAAGGCCAGAAAGAGACATTCTGAAGCCATTCTCAAGCGAGCCTGGAACCCCCGCGCAGCCCGCGCGCAGCCCCCACGCAGCCCCCGCGGAGCCCCCGCGGAGCCCCCGCGGAGCCCCCGCGCAGCCCCCGTGCAGCCCCCGCGCAGCCCCCGCGGAGCCTCCGCGGAGCCCCCATGGAGCCCCGGCACAGCCCCCGCATAGCCCCCCCATAGCCCCCGCACAGTCCCTCCTGAGCCACCGTGGGGCCCCCGAGGAGCCCTTCCACAGCCCCCGCGGAACCACTACGGTGCCGCCGCGGCGCCATCCCCGAGGCACTGCGGAGCCGCCACCCGACGACGACGCTCAGGGTACCGGAGCCTGCCATCGGCCACACGGAGATGCGCCTAAATCCCCCCCCCCCAAACTCAAGCGTTCTATATATTTTTGACGTCGGCGTTGTTTTTTTTTTTTTTTTGTCTGTTATTAGATGGAGTAAGAAGTGGAAAGAAGGCTGGATTGTTTACTGATTGTAATTTTTATTAATGAAGTCAGTAATGTAACATTTGTTTTCAACTAATACATTTACACATAGCCCAATAAGGCTATTGATAGGAACCCTGTCAATTATATCACTGTTGGTGTAAATGAAAGTATTGAATACATCATAAACTGGTTCAAGTGTTTGAAAAGCAACCGAACAATTGACTCGGTTAATAACTGCAAAGTATTCACCAGGACATGCACACAGAGAACTACACTGACATTCAGTAACGTTTTCAAAAGTTGTAATAATACTTCTATTCTTTATATCATTACATTTATACGAAACAAATGAAGAGTCCTTTTTTGTAACTTTTTCTGATGCAGAAACAAAGAGAACTGAATTGACTTTTAAAAGCTTGAAAGTACAAGTAGGTCCAGTTTTGACCATTGGACCGATGACATAGATATTGTTACCAAGACTTTCTGTTATTCTTAACCTAGCACTGGGACTTGTCATTTTAGTACAAAAATCTTTAACCTTGGTGTTAGAAAGTTTATCAATGAGAGTTGGCAACAATGCAAGGAGCTCAAAATTAGTTTGAACTTGAAGCCCAACAAATTGTGTCCCATGGATGAGATACTTCAGGGCACCATTTAAATTCTCAAACACAAAGCAAGAGGTTGTCCACAATGGGCCCAAGTCCCTAACAACACCAGGCAGATGTCTTAAAGCATGTAAGTTGAAAGTCATTTTAGAAAGGCCAAAAATAGTCTGGTACTGCTTAACAAAACAATCAAGGAGACACTGAGAAAGAACTAAGTCAGCTTCTGTAACACTGTTCTGACATAGCAAGGACACACCTAAGTACAGTAACTTAAAATGATTAAAGTAAGGCTGTCGCATAACAAGACTGAATATTGGTAAGCTGTAATAAAAAAAGAAAGACATGTATTCAGAAGCTTTCCAGAATTTGCGTTTGTTTAAAGACTGGGGCACTCTCTCAATACAATGGGGGGGGTTTGATTTTACACAAAATGTCACTAACAACATCCATCCTTTCTATGAAATTGTACGGTTCATCATCATACAATTTGTCAAAATATAAACTCATGAGAGTTTTGACAACGCCAATAAAAACGGAATGCATTACATCAATTGAAGTAGAAGACACAAGAGGAGCAAGTAACATATTTTTTAAAATAGTGGGGCCTTTGATACCCATGTGAGCTTCAACTGAAGGATTTTGACCTCGAAGTTGACGAAGCTGATCAAGATGATGCAGATAGTTCTGCTCAGTTCGTAACTGCAAATTTTCTTGAAAGGGATAAACAAAAATTTGTTTTGTTCTATCAGATTTTTCCCCCCGGCAAAGACATTTAGGGCAGCCAAACAAACCATTAAAATTTTTACAACACAAAAACACTGCTTTTGCAGGTGTGTCACAAGTGCCAGCTACTATCCCACCTTTAAACAGTACTGGATGTTCAACATCTACGATATCAAACTTAATGCCCTGTTTCAAGTGATTCAACTCATTAGCAAGTGGTTCAAGAAAAAGATTTGGATTAGGCTTTTCACGGCCAAACCATAAGCCGCCAAGTAACATATTTTCGCGTTTATACCTAAGATTAGGTGGGAGCTCATTGATTGACATAAAAAGCGACCAAATTTCATAGTTGGAGGATTTAAATATCGAAAAGCCGTCAGTATTCCACATAAATGACAAAAAAGTGTTCACAGTCTAAATTATTAACATCTTTGTAAACTTTACCATCATAAAGGTCTTCATAAGCATTGACATTAGTTTTGACTCTGTTCTGTGGATAAGTTATTGTAAAACCCTGGAATTTGAAATAGATTTCTGAGCTGCTCAATAACAGAAAGAGTAATAAAATAATCTACACCATGCCCAGGGTCACATCTTTCACAGCCCGCTTCTTTGGAGTTTAAATTAGAATGACAAGTGCTGCAAAAGTAATGCCTCTTACTATTGGTTTTAAACTGTGACAAATTTTTAAAGAAGGAGTATGATGTAGTCATAAGGTTACTATCTTCCGGTAGAATGAGTTTTAAAAGATGTAGAAGGTCTTCCAAGCACGAACCAGATAATCCATGGTTCATTGAGAACGATAATACAGCTAACATAACCTCGTCTAAGTTGCATGAGGCTCCTTCATAGAGAGGAGTGTCAGGTGGCATTTCATGCTCATGGCCTGTGGTATGGCTTGGATGATCCACATTCTCATCGTCCACCACATAATTTTCATTGCAGAATAGATCTTTGCTGCCTGTCAATAAAATTTAAGAATGTTAGATGCGCGCTAGTTTGTGCCTGCCACCTTGTAGGAAATAACTACACAGCAGCTAAACTTATGGCAACATAATTAAATGCGAAAGGTTAATATTAACTTACGATAGTCATCTTCTTGGATATCCACAGTAATTTGTAGATCAGTCTCTAGATGGTCCATCGCAATGCAAGTAGGCTCAGTGAAATGAGGTAACAACGGTGGAGTCATACAGATCTGCATCTGCCTGCAATCTGTTTCTGCTGTTCTCACAGGTTGAACCATCTGTGGTTCATCAAAGCCTAGAGAAATAAATATATGTTATTCACAATGATCTCAACAGACATGGTACACTGGAAATAAAAAAGGAGAAAACACTAACCATTCAGTTGGAAGATTGGGAACGGAAATTCTCCTGGTTTGTCATTCTTGGCTGCATCCAAAAGTCTTCTCTTGTCTGTTTTGGATAGTTTTTCAAAATCACAAGTTCTCCTCTTGTTGCGCGTCTTTTTGGGAGCAGTTTGCTCCAGGTCACTAAAATAGAAAGAAAATTATAACCATGACTTGACAAGTGAACCACGAACTTAAAATGTTAGCAAATAAGTTCTGAAATAACTTATTTACAAAAGAACCGAACCTCGATTCGAGTGTGAGCAAAATAAACTTACCACATTTCGTCGATTTATTCGATTCAGGTCGTCACAACATTTTACAGAGAAGTAGCAGTCAACAGGCCACATGCCAAACACATTTGTTATCAACAATGAAAACAAGCAGTCTAACCTGCAAGGCAGCCGTCACTTGTCGCTTCTATTGTAGCCAACACGAAACAAGAAAACGGAACACGACAGAGGACTAATTCACCGCGCATTTTATACAGAATACAAGATTCGCTGTTTTATTTTGATTTGGTATGTATCATCTCAGTCGTGTTACCAAACATATCTTGTCTATTATGAAGTTTAGTTGCCGTTTTGTTAGTGTGTGATGCTTTGACAGCCTGGCTGTCACTTGCGAGAGTCGATCGGCGTGACAGTCCGTCATCTGCTGCCCAGCTGATCAATCCAGCCGAGCCGGTCTGATTGCGTTTAGTTTACACGGTGCACGCCAAGGTGTCAAGATGTCATTTGTACTTGTGTTCTGGAGCGATCCGCCATGCAGCAGCGTCATCAACAAGACGGAGGTGGTGGGCAATGTTGACGTCGGTCAGAGGCGTTTCATAAAATGGCATGGCAAAGAAATTCTAGGGAAAATAATTAAAACAGGTAATGTATGCAAGTGCCGTTTTGGGGGGGGGGGGGAGAGCAACATTTCAAATTTATAAATTCTATGTCTTTTGTGGCTTTTAGGAACGAAGAAAGATTTACAGAAGGTGATACTTGGTATCGACGGGGAGGAGGTGGACGAAAACCGCGGTCCCGAATGTCAGGTTGTGAGGAGCAGGCAGGATATTCTTGACGAGCGACGCCGAAAAGCAGTAGCCCACCGCACCGCCGCACAAGCAGCCAGGGACCATTTCCTGTACAACTTAACATGTGAGTTTTCTTAAAAACCTACTCTATTTCATAAAAGCAGACCCCTTTTATAACCCTGATTTTTGTTTTCATTTTCCACATTCAACAACAGTCGAGGCAAGAGAGGGAGAGGAAGCTGAGGAGGTTGATGCTGCTGCTGGGGAAGATGAAGCATTGGAAGGTTAGCAAAACTAATTGAAGCATTACCGAAATACCCAATTATATTCAATTGTTATTTCAGGTATTGATTTTGCGGCATGTGCGTCGGTGGAGGAGATGGTGAAGAAACTCCCTCGACCCATCACCAAAAAGGCTATAACAACGCTCCTCCAAAACCTACCGTGCCTCAAGTCTAACAAACTGAAAGCAAACATGGTAAAGTGATGACAAGGAATATGCGTTATTCTTTAGGCCCACCAGTTCCCGTTCGATTGTCTAAAGTAATGAAACCTTCTAAAATTTTGCATTACTTCCAGGTAAATCTGAGCCCTAAGTGGAACGTCTACATAAGTGCGGGGTGTGCTTGGGCATTTGGAAAGTCACATCGGGACAATCCAAGCAAACTGTTCAGTTCGCTCTTGTTGGAGTGCGTCCCTGAGTTTGTGCTGGCTCTCCCCTACATGTCGGCCTCGGGCGCAAACGGTTGTGTGGGTATACCCCTCCCAATACGTCAGGCTGTGTGCTGTAAGACTCTGAATTAGTGCAAAACATGGTACTTTTGTTTAAAATTAGAACTAATGGTAACTAAATGAATGCTTCTCTTTTTCAGACCACACAAACATGATTTCTGCTAAGGCTCTCCTAATGTCTTAAACAACGAAGCAAATCAACAACCTCATCAAAGACTGTCGAAAGGACAAGAAGGTGCAGGACAAATTAAGAGAATTATTGACCCCAGTTCCAGCTGCAGCTCTTTAGGTCTATAGTGTCTTGTTTGGTTTGACCACTTGTTTTGTTTAAATAAAAATAAATTGTTACACCTCAAACACGCAATTTTGCAAGTCTTTCCGGCCCTTTTCCCATCACTGAGTTACGCCATCGAAAAAGAAATGACACATTTACGCAAATATCCGAAATTAATTTCACGACTTCGTTGTATACGCTCAGGCGTACAGTACCTCGCGTGCCCTGCCTGCCCTGCGGTTTCCTACGCAACCTCGTGGGCACGATGGCTCCGCGGGGGCTGTGCTGGGGCTGCGGGGAGGCTCCACGGCGGCTCAGGAGGGGTTGTGCCGAGGCTCCAAGGCGGCGCCGCGGGAGCCGCGCGGGCGCCCCACGGGGGCTGCGTGCGGGCTGCGCGGGGGCTCCATGGGGGCTGCGTGCGGGCTGCGCGGGGGCTCCACGGGGGCTGCGTGTGGGCTGCGCGGGGGCCCCATGGGGGTTGCGTGTGGGCTGCGCGGGGGCCCCATGGGGGCTGCGTGCGGGCTGCGCGGGGGCTCCACGGGGGCTGCGTGTGGGCTGCGCGGGGGCCCCATGGGGGCTGCGTGCGGGCTGCGCGGGGGCTCCACGGGGCCTGCACGGGGGCTGCACGGGGGCTGCGCGGGGGCCCCACGGGTGCTGCGTGCGGGCTGCGCGGGGGCCCCACGGGGGCTGCGGGCGGGCTGCGCGGGGGCTCCACGGGGGCTGCACGGGGGCTGCGTGCGGGCTGCGCGGGGGCTCCAGGCTCGCTTGAGGATGGCTTCAGAATGTCTCTTTCTGTCCTTAAAGTAGCCATTCTATAGCCATTTTCATGAGGCAGGAGACTGTCTCAGCAATGGCTACGGGCGGTTTCCTCACTGTCTCTGAGATGGCTTTTGCGTAGCCATCCTGAAGCCCGATCTTTTTGTACGGGAACTGACACATCTTCATTGCAACGAGCTGATCCCTAGACCGTCTGTGGTTCACCTACTCCATGTACATGGCAAATTATTGTAATCTTATAAACCTTGATGTTTTGAAAATTCACATTATCGTTTTTAATTTTCAGATCGCAGATTGTGAAATTTCAAAACACGTTTGCAATTTTTTTTACAACTGATTTACTTTTTATTTTTACAAACATTGAATTGCGTAAAAAGTTGCCAACAAAATTTGTAAAATTACAATCGATTTTTTTAACAGTGTACTGCTTCGTAACAAGCCTAGAAACAAGAACCCGTCACCCGTGACAGCCGCCCCACCCACAACATGTCCAAAATCGAAAAAACTGATAAGTACTCGGCCGTCGGCCACTTCTGTAATACAGATTTTGATGAAATTTTAACAAAAGATCAATCCAAAAATTAGATTTCATTTGAATATATCTGTATGGCCAAATTTGAGAAAATTAAAGTTAAACATCGAAATTATCACGAAAATCAGCAAAATGCTGCCCAGCCAAGAATGGTTCGCACTTCTACAATTCTTTCTGTTGATCTCTGTGGCTTACCTTTGCAGTAAACAGAAAAAACGTATGAGACAGGAATTCAAGATGGAATATTAAGCTTCTGAACGATGTATTTAAAATTTTCGTGAGACGTTCCAGTCGAGAACGACAGCAAGCTGAGTAATATGGGACATATACGCTTATTCTTCGCGTCTTGTTTTTAATTTCTAGTGCAGTTAGTATTTATTAAAACAGGGTAGTGTGAGCGAGCCCATTGTGCACCGTTCTTTCGGCTACCGAACAAGCTTTTAATCAATGGCATAATATATCCCAATCACAACTTCTACCGGTTTAAAATCAAAGCTGCACAGTTTGTTTAGGAATGGCCGTGGCTACGACAATCCTGGGTAGAAAAGAGGCGTGGCTTCTAACAATCCCAGTCAGAAATGGATCGTCGAATCGACGTCGAGTCGACGTCGACTTGGCCGTCGACAAGTCGTCGATGAGAATGGTCGAAATCGACGCGAAAATGTCCGCAAAATCGACTAGCTGTCGACGTCGACAAAAAAAAACAGTTATCGACGTGGTTTGAATAGATCGTCGTGTGAAGTCATATCGATCAAAATTCGATCATGAATTTAAAATGCTTTCCTAGGAAAACGGGGAAAACGTTTGCTAGACGAAAGGAAGGGGTAGAAAAGATCCTCAGAGTAGTCTTGGTTGATATTTTATTCATAGAAAAATTAATTCATAGAAAAAGAATAATGGGAAAATAAGAAAAATTAACCTTAATATCACATGTGTGGTTGGACAAAACAAAAATAAACAAGAAGTCCCACTACAATGGTTGAGGAAAAGTAAATTAATATCACATGCAGCTTAAACAAAACATCAAAAATAAACAAAAACGGAAATAGAAAAAAGGAGATATGCATCTTGATCAGATGAAGCCATCTAGGCCTTCTTGGTGGGCTCATTTGAAGAGGAACGTTTCTGCTTCCTCTTTGAAGTTGGACCCCTCCAGGGTGCATCCTTCAGCCACTTTTTAACTCCCTCCTCGGTGGCTTTCAAGTCTGTGTTTTCAATTTTCAGGAGAACTGCACCTGTTAAGAGAAAAGTATTTACAGTATACAGTCTTCAAAATGTTCTAACAGGAGTTGGATCTAAACTTTTGTTTTTGATATCTTATATGAGAAATGGTTAAGGTGGGAAATATAAAACATCAGAGAGACCCATAGAATCATTGGAAATTGTTTGAGCTTCTAGGACATTTCCACTTTCACATTTTAAATTCAAAATGATTTTGGATTTAAAATTTAAACTGTTCAATACTTTGCATTTGAATAAAAATAAAAAAAAGAGCCCCGGTATCCTATTGCCTGTTTATTTCTCTTTCAAATGTGCCGACACCCAGGCTTCTTATTTAAATAGTTCCGGAGAAAAGTTGTGCTGAAGTCTGGTACTGGGCCACTTGATTCAACACAAATAGCAGAATTTGTTGAATTTCCTACTTCTGGAGATGGTTTGATTGGTGATGCTGGAAATGGCCCATTAATGCTACCACCATTGTCTACAGGTGTTGTGGGAGACCCACAAGGAGACTGGAAGCTATGGTCTTGTTCTGAAATACTAATCTGATCTGCTGATTTAAAAATTTCTTCCTCATCTTCCTCACTTTCATTTAAGGATAAAAGCAACGTCATTTTTGCATTTGCCTCTGTAGACTTCTCTGATTTTCTTTTCTTTTTCTGCTCCAAAATTTTCTTTAATTCCTCCATATTCGATGCTTTGGAACCCCTGTCTTGCCTGCTGACTTTTAATGCAGTCTTGTTACTTGCTTGACGAACAGAACTCCCACTCTTTTTGACTACAACAAGTGGTTGATTCACAGACTTGTCAGCTGCAACAGTAGCTTTGCTGGATCCAGGATTGATGAGGATTCCAGGAGGGGTGGGGAGGTTCTTTCCAGACTTACTGTCAGCAGAAACAGTAACTTTGCTGGATCCAGGCTTGATGATTATTTCAGGAGGGGCGGGGAGGTGAGCATCTTTTTTCGACTGCTTGCTGATCGTGGTTTGTTTGGCGGGTCCACAATCTTCATCACTGGAGAGCTTTCTTGCTCTTTTCTTCCGAAGCCCAGCACCCAAAGGTTCATTTTCTGTCTCATACGTTGAGTCATCCATCCTCCTCTTGTGACCTATGTGGGCACTCAGGTAATCCCCTGCAACAAAAGTATTCAAGTTAACAGCTCTGTAACACTGTGAGGTCAATAATTTTTTTGGCTGAAGAAAAGGTTAATAGATTAGCATTTACCATAACCAGAAAGTACTTCACAGGTGTATGCTCGCCAAGAAGTGTGATCAGGAGCCAAGTGTTTAGTGACAATGCGCTGCAGAGCTTTCGAATCAGTAACATTTGGTGGCCACCAGAATTTTATGTCCCCTGTTTCATCATCCAATGCCAACCATTTTCTAGAGCAAATTTCTATCTCCTCCTCTTCTTCTTCCCCATCAGATTGGGGAATCTGAAACCGACACACCACAAACTGTAACACAAACAAAATGAAACCATGTTAATTAGAGGCAAAGATTTATCACTGCTCACTGCTCTGTCGAGCTTAATATAAGTGTGCACATAGTTACATTAAAAACTACTGCAGCAATGGGGTGGGGTGTGCCAAGGGGATTGACTCACACTCATCCCCTCTCTTTAAGAGCCAACATTTACAGAATACATCTTCCAGCATGAACAATTCAGTGACATCACTTAACTCTGACACTTTATAAATTCCAAGAAGAGATGAATCTATAGGATAACTGTACACATCCTCATAGGAATTAAAACGCTTCCCACAAAACAAAACCTCATTTCCATTCCTTTGAATTATGTTCTGAAGCACAGCAACACGACCAGTATTAGTCATAAAGCAGGAGTCCTTATCCCCAACCTTATAAGTAACTTCATTTACAGTAATCCTTCTGAACTGATTTTCATAGTCTTGATTAGGGTCATTATGAGGTTGGAACAGCTGTACTGTGTTCTGAACACTTTTCAGTTTCACCTCCTGCTGACGGCTGTTCTCAGAATCACGTTTCACAATTTGCTCCAGTGGCTGATAACCTGAACGTAATGTTTGTTTGATAGTTTTCAGCTGGTTTTCATAGGGGAAAGCACTGAATGACTCAAGAGCGCCGTTCTGACGGCACTCATCAGCCGAGTGAGTAAGAGAGTGAACATTGTACAAAACAAAGTGATTTCCAAAAATCTGTGCACTATACTGAACGAAAGTCTTCAAAATTTCTACTGCTTGGTCAACCCAGTTAAGCAACAAATAAGGACTAGCTAAAATATAAATCCCACAATGCAGTAATAAAAACATCTTATAGATACAGGGATTCAATTTGTCCTTGAAGGCAACAACACCATCATACATGAGAAGACGGCGCAGTTCAGTGGCTTTATACTTATAATAGTCTGCTATCTTCCGAGGTTTCCTGTTAAAGTCCCTCGGACAGGTGCTAATTAAACTCTCGAGAAACACAGATATATCTTCAATTGTACCTGCCTCAAGATTCCACTCTCCT